GTCAAACAAAAGTACTACGCCAATAAAACAAGAAAAGTATTGAATAATGGTATCATTAATACTGCTGTACCGTACATCCCGTCCTTGGCCGTACAGCAAGAAAGCGGGGCAGGTAGGGGAGCGGCGCAGCAGGAAGGCGGGGGCCTCTCTTGCTACCTCTTCTCCAGGTTCTGCATCTGCAAGCTGAGGGAGGTGAAGCTGGCCAGGAGGTCGGTCACTTCATCCACCTGCAGGGTGAAACCGAGGCTCTGTGATGGGGTGCCCCAGGTTTCCCCCACAACACCGCAGGCAAGACTGCAGGCATGGAGGCAGGAGCTGACTCTCCTCCCAGGGCACGTGGTGGCTTCACTATGACTACAGAACAGCTGTCCCAGGGTTAATCCTTGATGCCGGGTATTCTCAGACTGCCCGAGAGAGAAAGGCCACAGATGCTTCAAAGGCAGCAGGAAGCTTTGAGGTCCACAGTCGGCTGCCACCCCCTAGCCACGCCTCTTTCTCCTGCGAGCTCTGGCTGCGGCAGAGCAGGGATGGGCTGGCCCGGAGGCTCCTGCTAGGCCCTGGCTCTGGCCCGGCAGCTGTGGCTCACCTGCTCTTTGGTGCTTGTCATCTGGAGGCGGGTGCAGAGGTCGTCCAGCCGCTCCCGCTGCTCATGCCGCCCCAGGCGCTCCAGGTACTCCCTCAACATCTGGATGATCTGAAATAAGAGGGTGGGCTGAGTGCTGGCTTCTAACTAGGAGGCACAGAGAGGCCCAATGCTGCTGCCAAGAGGCACAGTGGAACAGGTACCAGCTGGGGCCCACGTGAAGTGACCCAGGAGCCCTGGCACCGGGGGCTGGTGTGTCTGTGGTTTGGGCAGCACGTGACCAGTGCTCACTTGGTGTTGCAGGCTTAGCCCGAGGTGGGCACTCACCTGCTTCACCTCCAGCCGCACAGCCTCCAGGCACTGGGAGTGGCCTTCCTGCAGGATGTTGAGCTTCGACTTAGCCAGGTGCAGGGGTGTGCGGCCAGCTCGGTCCAGGGCATCTACACGGGCGCCTGTGGGAGCAGGCAGAGGTAAGCATGCCGGGGGTGTGGGTGAGAGAGGAGGGAGAAGGGGAAGGGACCACATACCTCCTCGCAGCAGTGTGGTGATGACAGGGACATGGTTGGTGCAGGCAGCTGAGGAAGAAGGGCAGGGATGGAGAGTCCAGGACCACCAGGCTTGGTGCTGTGTCCTGGCTCTGAGTGTCCCGGTGCCAGGTCATGCCCCCGAAGAAGGCATCACCGAGGCAGCAACTGGGCAGGACTCAGCAATCAAACTCCCTCCCTGTCCAGTTTGGGAAACTGAGGCTTGGAGATGGGACCTGCCTCCCCATGAGCCACGGCGTGAATCAGCCATGGGGCAGGAACTGGCTGCAGGTCTCATCTCCCCCAGCAGAGCTGCTGCTAAGCCAGTTTAGGTTGTAAAATCAGCTCTGCTCAGGACACAGCCAACCAGTGACTGATGGGGAAGGCTATGGGACACAGCCTGGGGGAGTGCAGCCCTGGGGGCTCAGGCTCCCTCCCAGTAATAGGAGAGTCTGCTGGGAGCCCACAGGACCCCAGGCTTTCCATCAAAGGCACCTGTCTGTGCTGCAGAGAAGGGTGTCATGGCAGCTTGCCCGGCACTTACCCAGGTGCAGTGGCGTGTTCCCCAGCCCATCTCGCTGGTTAGGGTCGGCTCCGTGGTCCAGGAGCAGCTGCACTAGAAACAGGACAACCCAAGAAGGGGTTGGGGGCTTCTATGGGCAGCACCCTAACCCCCACCCCTAACCAAGCTGAAGAGACTCACTCCAAGTGTGGAACACTGAAAGCCAACACAGTTCCCTACGTTGTCTCGTTCACTCACTTGCTTGCCCATGAGGCTCATGCGCAGGACACTGAGGGCCAGGAACTGAGGGTTCTGGGAGGGCCCCTGACCCATGCAGGTATTAGGCAACAGAAATTTTAAGAGTTAAAGAAAGTTCTCCTAACAGCAGTGGCTGCTAGTAAAGGCTCTTAAGGGCATTTCCTCTTCCCTCCACAACCAAGCACCACGGTGGGAATTAGGTCAACAGAAGATGCTGTGCACCCGCTCCTTCAGGGTCTATAGGCCACCTCAGGGGTGGGCTGTGCTATCACCGTGGCTCACCGATCACCCAGATGGATCTGCAGGCAGACTAACTCATCGGAGGAGGCCAGCCTGAGCCTCACAACATATACAGAAACAAATTCAAGAGGGATCAGGGATCTAAGTGTGAAAGCTAAAACAGGCCTATAAAAGAAAACAGGAGAATATCTTCACAACCTTGGGATAGGCAAAGGTTTCTTAAATAGGTCACAAAAGTACTAGCCATAAAACAGAAAAGATTGATAAATTGGATTCATTAATATTAAGAACTTCTGTTGAGGGAGAATAGTTCAGTGGCAGAGCACACACTTAGCATGCACGAGGTCCTGGGTTCAATCCTCAGTACCTCTGTTAAAAAATTTTTTAAATACATAAATAAATAAACAAACCTAATTACCCCCCCAAATAATAAAAAATGCAGTAAAATAAATCTATAAAAAAATTAAGAACTTGTGTCTATCAAAAGACATTTGGAGAACAAACAGATAAGCTAGGAAAAAGTCGTCTACATTTAATCAATGATTTGTATCCAGAATATACAAAGAATTTCTACAAATCAATAAGAAAAAAGATAAGTAACTGTTTTTAAAAAAAATGGACAAAAGACTTGGGCAGATACTTCACAAAAGAGGAAATGAAAATGGCCAAAAAATACATGAAGATGTGCTCAATGTTATTGGTCATCAGAGAAATGCAAGTTAGACCACAAAGAGATACCACTATACCAGAAGGGCTAAAATTTAAGAGACAATAACAAGCAATGGCAAGGATTGGTGGGAAGATGTGGAACTTCTTACACTGCTGGTGGGCGTGGAAGTGGGGAAAAGTTTGGCAGTACCACTAACGCTGAACATGTGTGTGCCCCAGTGACCCAACAATTCCACTCCTGTGTTTGTATCTAACACAGGTAAGTGCTTCTATCCACAGAGTCATACATACAAGAATGTTCCTAGCAGCTTTGCTCCTAACAGCCCGAACAAGGAAACAACAGACAGCCATTAGTAGTAGAATGGGTGAACTGTGATCCGTCACACAATGAAACACCACCATCCGACAATAAGAACGCACGAAATACTGTTACACAGCCTTCAGGGATGAATCTCAAGGATGTGATTTTGAGTGAAGGAAGTCAAGACACAGAAGAGTGCATACTCTGTGCTTCCATTTATGTGAAATTCAGAAACAGGACAGATTGATTTATGGTGAACAAAGTCCACGTCGGGGTAAGGACAGGAAGGTGCATGAGGAAGGCTGCTGGGCACGGTGGTTACATCCAGAAAGTTCACTGTTTGTAAGTTATACCACATCCAAAAAGGACTTCTGTAGAAAGGCGGGGGGGGGACTGCTGTCCCACTGCTGCCCTTAGCACTGAGTAAATGCTGCCGGAATGTCTGGAAGGGTGTCTGGCAGTGCCACTTCCACAGGCTAAGGGAGTCAGATGGGCCTGGCCTTCCTTATATCCGCACCCCTCGTTTGGCAGACAGCAGATCTTCCCAACGCTGGTGCCTCTGGGGTGATGCTACTTGCCCAGCCCCACTCTGCCCCGCTCCCCAGGACTCACCAATCTGGTCGTTGCCGTTGCAGGAGGCGAAATGCAGAGCAGTGCGGCCCTTGTCGTCAGCTGCGCAGGGATCCGCGCCATCTTCCAGCAGCTGCTGCACTGACACCACCAAGACAGAGGGAGAAAGTAGAGAGAGAGGCAGTGTTAGCCAAGCTGCAGCCCCCAGGGGATGGAGAGAGGTGCCCTTTCAGGCAAGGCATCGATAATGTTGGGAGAGCTAGTCCCTTCTGGATGCTGGCCCCCCAGGGACTGCTGTGCCAAGGGACTTGTTCTCCTGAGGACACAACTGATTCTGAGGGTCACAGATCCTGGGTGCTCAAACTATGCATCTAGGGGTAGAACATCACAAAAGGCTCTTGGCCCTCAGCGTCAGGAATTCTGGAGTCACGGAAATACCCAGCATAGACTTTGGCCCCACCTCTCCACCTGAGTGTGGATACACATCCATTCCGGCTGGACACAGCTGCCTAGGCTGTTGGCTGGTGCTTAATTTGCTCATAGAAGGCAGCCCTCTAGAGTGGACAGAGCACAGGTTCTGCCACACAAAGCCCCAGGCTAAGCCAAGCAAAAAAGAAAGGAGTTCACTGCCAACAACATGGGGCAATGGGAAGAGCTGGACTGGCTGTAGGAAGGCCTAGACTGGGGCCCCAGTTCACCAGCAAAATGGGAGTAATCTCCGCCCAGCCAATCTCCAGAGCTGCTGTGATAACAGTAATGGATATAAAATTCCTTCCTTGAAAAGTGCAGAGCCATTATAAAATGTGAGGCATTATGCATTACATTATAGTACGTGTCCGACTGAAAGGCAGAAATTGCTGCCAAACATCATCCTAGAGCAAGCAACATTTTAGTCTCTCTCTCTCTCTTTTTTTTTTTTTTTGAGGTTTAGCATCAGTCCTTAATGCTGTCATGCTGCGCGCTGACAAGTCACATGCTTTGGTCTTGTGTTGGCAGTGGCAATTTACAATGAGTTTAAAGGTCGAACCACCAGACTGGCCTGCAGGGACAGACGCTTGTTCTAACTCCACTTCCCAGGTTCCTTCTGAACTCCATCATGGCCCTATACATGGAGCAGCAGCTGCAGTGGACTGGTTTTGTTTGAGTGCACACCATGGAATTATAAAAACATATTTACAGATGTTCCACAGTGCTCCTGTAATCCTTCTAAGACGAAGCCCAGATACCTCCTGCTCCATGAATCTCTGTCTCCTCCCTCAAGTTAGCCACTCCCTCTCCTGTATCCCCATGGTGCCCTGTTCATCCTGCTCGTATTAACATGCTCCGCTCTTTTAGAGTAACTGGGACTGTACACCAAGGACCAGCCAGGCGTCAGGTACATGTCTGCCAAGCTCCTCGACCACCCAGCATGGTACCACGTCCATGCTACAGGCCAGGAGACGGACTCCAGCCTAAGCTAACAGGAGGCCAAGCTGGGAGAGAAACCCAGGTTTCTCTGATTCGAGAACTTAACACATGTCTCTGGTTGTTCAGGGGGTTTTATTTTGGAAATGGTGTTGCTTTATATTCTTCCTTTCCGAATATGTTAGAGGTTTTTTTTTTTGTTTTATCTTGATAACTTGGACTAAGATATTACTTGTCCTGCTCCATGAATGAAAGTAGAGAGAATTGAAAAGCCCTCCAGTTTCCAGGCCTGCTCACTGTGCTCTACCAGGGGTAAGGGACCCACTTCAAGGCTCATGGTGGAACACCCAGCCCCCACAGGTAAGTGACCATCTCTCCACACCTGTTGTAAATGGGCTCTCCTATTCCACAGCCCTCAATCCACGCTCACCTTTTATCTGTGGACCATAGCATCCCACCACCAAAACTGTGAGGTAGGCAGAATAACAGCCCCCAAAGATGTCCACACCCTCGTCCGCAGGATTTATGGATATGCTAGCTTTCATAGCAAAAGGGACTTTGCAAATGTGATTAAGGCTAGGGATCTTGAGCTAGAAGATTATCCTGGATTATGCAGGCCAAACCTAATCCCAGGAGTCTTTAAAATCAGAGAACCTTTCCCTGTCTTGAGAAACCAGAGATGACAGCATAAGGACTCAGTCTGCTATTGCTGACTTGGAAGATGGAAGGAGACAACTGTGAGCCAGGATGGCGAGTGGCTTCCAGCCAGAAAAGGCAGGGAAACAGAGTCTCCTCCGAGTCTCCAGAAAGAAATACGGCCCTGCGGACACTTTGATTTCAGTCTGATGAGACCTGTGTTGGACTTCCAACCTACTGAATTGTATGATGATAAACTTGTGTTGTTTCACACCACTGTGTTCATGGTTATTTATTACAGCAGCCATAGAAAACCAATACACCACTTTTTCCTGATTCATAGAAAGAATTCAGAGGATAAAATTAAAAATATTTTCCTATACTTTATCTTGGATCTTTGATGCTCTTACCGCTCTGTCAGCTAGTGAGCAGTGAAGAGCAGTAACAAAAAAACCAAAGTGGTGTCGTGCTAGGAGCCCTCCCATGCCTTTGAGATGTTCTGGCAACTGAAGTTTGAGAACCAGTCACTCAACTACCACAAAGCCTCAGTGAGCAGTTGAAGGTGGTGGCTTGGGGCAGATGGTGGCTCTCCTGGCGGTTTCAAGGTGACTATTCATTCCCACTGACCAGAAATTCCAAAAACCTCCTACTCTGCTACTGGATGCCAGGGATACAAAAGCAGACGTGGTCCCCGCCATCAGGGAGCCCATGGGGTGATAAACACTATGACATCAGGAAGTACAAGGTGACAGGGAAAGCAGGGAAGAGTGAGCATCTAAGCCAGACTTGTCGTCTGCAAGGTGACTGCAGTGATACAATAAATAGAGTAAGCCTGGTCCAAAGGGTGAGCTGGCAGAATTCAAGCACTGTCTTCCCAGGTATTGGTTACCTGGATTTTTCCTTCCCAGCCCAGACCATGGAGCTGGACTCGCTCTGCACACTCACCTGTTTCCACATCGTTGGCATTGGCTGAGTCCCTTAGCCTCTTCAGAGCTGTGAAGAGAAAAAGAGTGCCAAGTAAAAAAAAAAGCAAACAGCAACAGCCATGATGAAGCAGAAAGCGATGGCTTCCTAGTTACCCACCATTCAGCCACAGTAGCATCTAAAGAGAGAAAGGTGCCAGGATACAGGAGCCACTACCCTGGGAACAAGGACAAACTTGAAATGTGACACAGCTAGTGCAAAAGCCACATTTTGTAGCAAATCCTCCAAGGCCTTTGGAGCCAGATCTTGGCTCTGCCACTTGTCGTGGCGGGGGTGACCTTGAACAAGTTAGTTAAGCCCCCTGGGCCTCAGGTCTATCATCTGCAAAACAAGGCTGAGCTCCGTCCTGACAGCCCTGAGTTGTGGCAAAGACAAAATGAGATGATTTACATGGAATGCTCTTTGTGAGCTGGTTACACAGATAATCTTATATTCTCCTTCAAAACAGGCCATTCCCAAATGACTAACTGAAATTTGGTAATTCCTATGCAGAAACTCTCTTCTCCACAATGGCACTGCCTCTGTATTAGCGGCTAATATAAAGCAATGCCTTTATCATCAGAGAAATGGTCAAAAATTGCAATTCATATACATAATAATTCCTTACATTTGTATAGCACTTTATGGTTTATACAGCACTTTCAAGTTCTCATTTAATCTTCATAACACCACTAAGATATTAGTAGGTTCCAGAAGGACCCTAAAAGTCCCCATTCTTCAATCTTTCAGGGTGTTGGTTTCCATGGCATCCATAAAATGTAGGAGACAATATGGCAGAAGTGCCAAAGTAAGAGTTCGAGTCTGGCAGACCTGGGTTCTAATACCAGCACAACCAGTTTTTAGCTATGTGACTTGGAGCAAGACAATTTCTTTAGCCTCAGTTTCCTCTGCAGTAAAATGGGAACAGTATCTGGATCTCAATGAATTATCATGAGGATCTGAAGTGATCACATGTCACCCAGCAGTGTTTGGCACACAACAAAGGCAGAATAATACCTATACATTCTTCACCTTACTTAACTCTGGCAACAACACTGTAAAGCATACTGTACCCGTTCTACAGACGAGAAAACTAAAGTGAAAGGTTCTATAATTTGCCCAAGGCTTCAACGAGATAGAAAAGTCCAGTCCAGGTCTGTGCATTTAAAGAAGTTGGTAGGACTTAGCTAAAGGTTCTGGCCTCCAGTCTCTGATGTGAACGTATTCTCCAGTACCCCATTTATTTTCTACAAATAAACACGTGGAGTCAGGAAAAGTTTCTATTCATAAATTACCAAATGTAAAAACCCTCCAGGACTGGTTCTGAGCAGGAAGACTTTTTTTAAACTCACAGTCCTTAGCAGGTTTACTACTACTATTAGTCCTGAAAGGAGATTCAGGGGTCACTCGGGGCCCGTGGCTCAGACGTCGAAGGACCATCCTGAGCGGGCGGGTGCGGTCAGGGCCCGGTTCTCTGCTGAGGGCCAGCCCCGCCTCCCGCCGCGCTCCTCACCGTGCACCTCCTTGCCAGTGGGCCCGAGCCGGCGGTGGGGCCTGGCGGCGCGCCTCAGCCGGCCGGCGG